ACTGAAAGTAAACTATTTAGCGCTGAACCAAGTAATAGCCCATGGCACAAAAGAAGTCAAAGTAGAAAATAGAATAAGAATAAAATAAAAAAAAATAATAACAATGAGTTAAAAATAAAACTACAAAAATAAATAAATACAAAATATAAATTAAATAAAACCATAAATGAAAATAATAATTATACTAAAAGTGAAAGAGTTTGTACCCTATGTTCAGAACTTTGGCGTGAAGATTCTCTAATGCAAAACTTCAATTACTTTCTTCTTGTGAGAGGATTTTAAGATTATCCTGACCAATCCCATTTTTATCCACTTTTTGATCTCTATAGATTTGAGAAGGGAGGGATCACATCTATATAATTTGTTAAAATGGGCTGATACACAATGGTGGGGAAACCCCCTTCTTTTATTTCTAATATGCTCTCCAATTCTTATATGTAGGGATCTAGTAGTTCACCCCACATAACCTAACCCACATGGAGATTCTTAATAATATATAAAAAACAATTCTATGGCAATTCACACATTTACATATTGTATCTTTTTAATGGCTTATTGATTTTAGTGTGGAGTTTTTCAGTTGTTTCACATATGAACAAAAGCTGCTTTCCACCTGTTAAGAATTATTTTTGCTTTTATTGCAGATAAAACTTTAAACCAATTTTGAGACCCAGGGCCTCTCTTAAAAAGATTTGTATTCTTTTTTTTTTTTTTTACCAATAATGTTCTTTATTATTATCAAGTATGAGTGTTGTTTTTTTCACCCCATCCTTGACTGTTATTCTTGGTTTTCTTTTTTTTTTAAATTTAATTCTTTATTTCTGCGTGCAGGAGAAAACAGACATTTAGACAATGACATTTTACCAAGCATTCATGTGATAATACAGATGGAAGTTTGTGGTAAGAAATGTCAATGGGGGTACATGAGAGAAGCAAGAGGCTAGAAAGAAAACATGAATTTTACCACATGACAGGAGGCTTCATATTTGCATATCTTTCATTACTCAAAACTCCAGCAGCATAGTAACATAAACAACCAATCAGAAAAAAGATATAATGCCCATAAAAGGCCCTGTCTATGACATCACTTCCTCTTTCTTTGCTGCTCCAGCCAACATCAGGTCAGAGTATTTTGCCTCCCTGGCAATTGCTTACATATATTGTTTGTTTCTCTGTATTTTGGATGGTATTGTTCTATTTTTACCTAAGTTAATTTATTTACCTAAGTTAATTTATTTATTTATTTATTTAGTTTTTACTTTCGCTGTTCCCTTCTCCCTGTCCCTGCAGTTTTCTTTTGGGCCCCTATTGCTTTTCACTACCGGTACCCGCGAGCAACGGCTGTCAGTGCCGCGCGCCGCGGGCCGGCTAACGTTTTTCCTTTTGTGGGGCCGGCAAGGGGACGGGTGGAGGGGGACTGGGAACTGCGTTCCCTCGTCATTCCGGCGCCGAGCGGTCGATCGCGGCGCTACTTCACATGCGGGCAGCGGCCATCTTGGATCTCGCGGCTCGCGAGATACCGGACGGCCGCCTTCCCCGCTTGCCCGGCGGATCGGTAACTCACCCGACCGCTGGGCTCCACATCTTTATACCCTCCCTAGTATGTACTAAGGGAGGGTATTAGGTTACAGTGGATTTTTGCCTTTCTATATATATATATTTGCCCAGTGCCTGCCTGCTGTGCTGCCTATCTATTATAAATGCATGCATTAAAGAGACAAACATTCCCCCCTTTTTTTGCCAGCTTCAGACCTTTATGTCTCTAGGCCCTGCTTAGGGTCATATCAGCTACTATACCCCAATTAGGGTTATACTATACATGGTTATAATCTCCTCAGGATCAGACGGCATACTGGCAAAAATTATATACAATTATTATTTTTTATTCTCATGAGCAGGCACACAATCTATGTATTATTGTGAAGCCATACAATATCACAGTCGTTATACAAAACATATACTGTACCTATATCAAGATCAACTATATCACTGTACTCTACGAAGGGCATATTATGTTACTGTACCCTACAAGGGCATATTATATTATATTATTGTACCCTACAGAGGGTCATATTATATTACTGTACCTGACGGTGCAAATTTATGTGGGTGTCCTCTGGGTATTTTTTCATGGCACACCACCTGGGGTGACCCCCCAGATATGCATGCAAGGTCACTGACAGATATGCATGCAAGGTCACTGACAGACCATTACCTTTGATGTGGGTGTCCTCTAGGTTACCATGGCACACCACCTGGGGTGACCCCCCAGATATGCATGCAAGGTCACTGACAGACCATTACCTTTGATGTGGGTGTCCTCTGGGTTACCATGGCACACCACCTGGGGTGACCCCCCAGATATGCATGCAAGGTCACTGACAGACCATTACCTTTGATGTGGGTGTCCTCTGGGTTACCATGGCACACCACCCGGGGTGAACCCGATCATATGCATGGAGGCCTACGCCTCAACTTTACCACTGATTACTACAGACATATATGGATGTTTAACCCTTAACTATGGATGTTTAACTTTGGAATAAAAGGGAATCATGACATGTCGCACATCTCATGTGTCTTTAAGGGGTTAAACACTGCCTGTCAGTTTTACATTAAAACAACAGTACCATGCCGGATGCGATTTGATGGCAGGATCACTAAGAAAATTGAGTGTATTGCGGTGTAACCTTCACAGGGATACATATATGTATATTTTCTGTGCCTAGTGTACATATGGAACGTGGGTGTCCTCTGGGTAATTTTTCATAACACACCACCTGGGATGACTCCCAGATATGCATGCAATGCTTGTAAGGTGCCAATAAGTATAATATGGGTGTCCTCTGGGTTACCATGGCACACCACCTGGGATGAACCCAGCCTAATAGACATGGGTCCTGCGGCTGCAGACCTTATGGAGACAGGCCCCATGCGCCTATATAGTAAGCCTGTGTAGTTAAAACCCTGCATACAGCTCTGGCGTACATTTGTGGTGAACCCGGCTAGCCAGACCGACACCACTACCAGGCAGTCGCGCCTGCACCACGGCTCTCAGTAGCCAGATTAAACTAATAGAGGTGACCCCTCTTTTTACCTGGGTGATCCCCAGTTCTACCAGGAGTCTAACACCCCTACGTGCTGACCCCCACACTATCTCCCAACAGGACGGGAACGAGTCATGGTGGTCACTCTCAACGTTCCCAAGATTTCGAGACAATGATAAACGCCACAGTAACGGCCTCAGTGGAGAAGGTTCTGTTATGAACTCTACCCCACACCGCTTGATGGAGACCTCAGGCCCACAAGCCTTCAAGTCAAAACGGCAAGGGAAGGGCTCCAGCCCCCCTGCCACTAAGGTCAAGGGCAAGATGCCCATCGAACAGACCAAATAGGCGGAGCACCGGGAATCCAAACCCCGTCCGCCACAATCTTCCGACAAAAAAGACTATTACCCACCACGTACTTTGGACATGGTAGATGAGCGACACGAAGACAGCTCACCGTCTGAGGAAATGGAACGGCAAGACCTTCCCCACACTTCCTCGAAGTAAGTTAGGGAAACCTTACTCCGTGACGGCGGCTGAGGCAGAGATAACTGTAGCGGCACTAAACCAGAGTAGCCGAAGACGGAACGTTCCTGGACGAACACTATTGGCTGCACAACCCTCGGGGGATGGAAGGATGCGCACGCCTCAAGACCGAGTTGCCCCAGGGTACACAACTCAACCCTACCACCTCCAAAGAATGGTCTCAATGCTCGATATGCCTCCTGGGCAACGTAAATGACGCACTATGCGCCGACAGACGCAAATCTGTACTGGGCCGCATCGACAACACACTATTGGACCTAGGAACGACAAGTATTCGGCCCAAAAGCACAAGGCCTACTATTCGACGTAGTGTTCATTGCAGTACTCAAAAAACACGTGAATTTATTCACCACACTAAACCCAGACCTCGCTAAAACAAGTCTGAACCCATCCGCTTCATCTACTAGTGTGTCAACCTACATAACTAACTGTTTCCAATATTATGACCGGCAACCTGTCTCTGTTTTACAGAATTGGGAGACGACTACCAAAGTCACCTGGGTTCTCCAGACAGTACAAGGTTATGTCATAGAGTTTTATCACAGCCGTACAGGTCGCCCCTTCACCTCCATTACGCACGCTGGCAGAACAGGAACGCCTCGTGGACAAGAAAATCTGCACCCTCTTCAGGAGGTGCGCAATTCAACACGCAACGGAGGGGAAGGCTTCCCCAACAAATTTTTCCTGGTCAAGAAGAAGCCAGGAGACTACATCAATGGAACTCCTACATGGTATAAAAATGCTGCAAGATGGAGGAAATTCGTCTTCTACAAGACCTCCTAGGCGATAACGACTGGTTTACACATCTAGACCTCAAGGACGCACGCTTGTCGGTACCCGTTGCCCTGGACTGCCGAAGTTTTCCTCCGATCCCGATGGTGAGGACAAACACGGCAGTTTACGACTCCGTGGTGCTCGCGAACCTACTGTAACCAGTGAGGGCACACATCCGCAAATTTGGGCGTGCGATGCCTCGTATACCTGGAAGACTTGCTGATTCTTTACGAATCCAGACTACATTTGCAGACAGATTTGTTGTTCACTTTCGGGACTCCAGGGATTTTTTGTTGTACACAGACAAAGATCGCTTCTCCATCTTAATCGGGCCAGTTCCTCAGTTTCGACATCGGCATGGAGAACTATGTTCCGCGTCAGTCTACGGCAAAGAGCGCCTCTATAAGGATAACTGTCGGATTGTGGGATTCCTCTCCTCTTCTCCACAATAGCAAAGGTGCTTCAATACACACACACACTCACAAGATATCGCTCCTGCTCATGACACCCCTCGGGCAGGGCCAACTGTGATTTCCCGGATCGCCTGGAGATGTCTCGCGAAGACCCTCTACTACTCCCTACCTTCCCTCTACTTCTGACGGGACCTCGAGGGGGAGCCCACTCCCTTGTCATGGAAGGACAACTGACACTAGTTGCCTGGACGGCTTCAGGGGCTCCTGGTCAGATCACGACCTATTGCATCAACTAAGACCTCCTATGGGACTCATAGGCTCCCGGCACCAGGAAAGGCTATATTTCTGCCTGGTCGGCCTGGAGTGATTGGTGTGTGGAAAGGGATTCCGATCCCTTTACCGCACCTGCCCCACTGATCCCCAACTATCTGTCACACCTGGTCTCGTTGGGTCGGTCATATCGATCCCTCAACATGATCAGATCCGCCATGTGGGCGGCGCACGTTCCGGTACAGGGCAGACCAGTAGGTCAAGATACACTGGTTTGTCGACTACTGCGGGGTGCCGAATTGTCGAGATCCCGGCACCCAAATATTCACGCCTCTGGCAGGTGGATGTGGTGCCGAGATTCCTTAGGGAATGGCCGGACAATCCTTGTTGGTCACTGAAGCAACTTTCAGCCAAACTAGCCTTCTTATTATGCCTCGTCTCATTTAGACGGTGGCGGACGTTAGGGCTTGCGATATGGATGGTTTCTCTCTCACACCAGACGGGGTTACCTTTACCATGTCGAGACAAACTAAGTCTGATTCGTCTTCAGTGTCATACCCATGCTTTGTGTCAGATGCCACACTATGCGTGGTCAGAACGCTAATGGGGTACACCAATATCTCTACCCCCTTCGAACTCACTCGACGGATCACCTTCTGACTTCTTACGTAAACCCTCATGGACCGCTGTCTACCGCAACACTGGCCAGATGGGTCCGCGGGGTTTTGTCTTTAGCGTCGAACCTTGTTTCGGAGCCCACTCGGTCAGGGGAGCAGCGGCCTCACAAACCTTTTCGGCCGACGCTTCCCTAGCCGACATTATACGCTGCGCGGACTGAGCGCGAGAGAGTACGTTTAGAACGTTCTATTTTCGGCAAACATCTCATGCTTCCTTCACATTGGTCAATTCAAAGCTTTAAAAATGCAAATATGAAGCCTCCTGTCATGTGGTAAAATTGAAGATTATACTAGCTTTAGAGTACTAATAATCTTAATTTTAGTAATGACAGGAGGCGAATATTTCCCACCCTGTAGAATCCCTCCCATGTTCCTCGTATTGAACAGAATATGTCCTTTATGTTCAGGAAGGTAAGTACGTATGGTTTGTATGTTTGCTACTTAGACCTGTATCTTGTGGGTCTTGTATTGGCTGAATATTAGACGTGAACCTTGCATTATGTTGTGTTTATAGATTCTTAAATATCATTGCGTTAGAATAAATATATATTGATATGTTTCACACTCTAATGTTCGCTGGTATGTCAGATGCTTAATGCTTATTGTATGCGGACAAGTTATCACGCCAGATACCTTTCACCTTTTTCTTTTTCTTGCAGCGTGAACGTCTTCTCATCGTGACAAAGATTCACCTTCTATACCTCTGCATCGTGGAACTAGTGGAGTTGGATATTCTAATATGTTGTTGAACTGTTGACGTAATATGATTATGTCTCCTATTGCTATTTATTGTTTCGCTTTAAAGAAAGAGGAAGTGATGTCATAGACAGGGCCTTTTATGGGCATTATATCTTTTTTCTGATTGGTTGTTTATGTTACTATGCTGCTGGAGTTTTGAGTAAAGAAAGATATGCAAATATTCGCCTCCTGTCATTACTAAAATTAAGATTATTAGTACACTAAAGCTAGTATAATCTTCAATTCTTGTTGGTGGTTCCATTATCTTTGATCATAGTGGTGCCATCATGAAGGTGTGTGCGTACCCTCATCCCAAAGAACCACTTACACCTAACCTTGCTACATAATAAGGATTTTTGGGAATCACTTTTTAACCAGAAAAGATGGAGTTAAGTCCTTAGTATAAAACAAAACAAAAAAACGTTTTAGAATTAATACAGAGGGGATTTTTTTGTTTTACTGCATCAGAATTTCAATGCAGCTTTTTAGGTTTAAAGGCTAGGCCAGTGCAATACGTTGTAATAAAGACGCAGCACCATGTAGTGAGTTAATGAGATGTACTGTACAATCCTTCATCTAGCTGTCCACGGGGAAGGTTCACTAGTTGCTGGGTAGGCTCTATTGGTCTAGCGGAGAAGATCAAAATAATGCAACGTTTGGAGACTTGCATCAGGATATCCAGCAAAACATTCTTTAGTTCTCCCATAAGATCATGCCATAAAATAAAGTTTGTCTGAGTGAATTACCAATAGAGTCATATTAATATACACAAAGAATTCAAAGCTTTTTTTTGTTGTAACTGCCTGCAAAGTTGTACAAATTGACATCGTTTTCAATGTTTGTTTGTTTTTTTCTTTTGACCACAAACTTTCATTGCAAAATCTTCTAGTAGTTTTCTACTATAAAAACAACAGGAATGCAAATCAGTTCTCTGGCTTCTCTGAATTATCACTTTGTGAGAGAAAGTAAAATACAGACTAATTATGGATAATGAGTGGATAAATTGCTGTTTACATTTATTAATGGGTTGAATAGCCTATGATTGATGACAACTCACATGTCCTCATGCATGATTAATGAAGATTCCAGGAATTTCATCCCAAAGTAATTGCAAGCAGTGTGGATTATCTGGTTAGAGACACGTTACATTGATGGTGAGCTTAAACCAATTGGTTTCAGCCTCCTTACTCCTAACTGTTAAGAATTTAATTATATGGCCTATATTACATACACTTACTAATTTCCCATGCAAAAAGCTTTAGTTAATTTTAAAAAACAGTTGAAAAAAACCCAAAAACAAGCCTTTTTATTAACCACACTCTGAAGTTTACTTTTGCTTCTTTGATAACTGCAAGATCTGTTTGTTAAATAATTCCTTGCATTTCTCAAAACTGCCAGAAATGCTCACAAAGTTCAAAATATGTATATAAAAGGGTCAAGGTGTCTGGTCCCTGACTTTGAATTCATACATGAACATGCTACTGGGTCCATTCCATCTCTGTGCCAGGAGATACCACAGCAGTGTGATACCTCTGTGCTCCTTGCCTATCAGCCTTAGCTTCTTCAGTGGTATCACATGAACATCAGCCAAATAGTGTATGCAGCGATTATTTAGTTCTCCCAAACCTTATACCCAAACACTAGGCAAGGCAAAACATCTGGGAGCGTAGGACCCCCTAGTGGCACGAGGCAAAATGAAGAGGTCTAGTGGTCCTCCAGCACTTTAGGAGGTAGGCAGCCAGGAAGGGGGCCAAGAGGCAGATGTAGTGACTAAATCATTATCTGCCTCTTAACGAGGCCAGGGCATCTGCTGTTATGAATGCTCCTGCTTTGTCTATCCCTATTTCTGCAGAGTATCAAATGCCTTGGCAAAATCCAAGTAGATCACCTCCACTGCAACACCCTGATCTATACTTCTACTTACTTCTTTGTAGAATGCAATTAGGTTAGTTTGACATGACCTATGTTTCATAAAACCATGCTGATTATTGCTATAACAAAGTTCTTCCCAATGAATTCCTGAATATTATCCCATAATAGCCCTTCAAATATTTTCCCAGTTACAGAAGCTAAGCTCACAGGTCTATAATTTCCAGGCAAGGATTTTGAACCCTTTTTAAATATAGGAACAACATCTGCCTTCCTCCAATCCTCCGGTACAATACAAGGCGCTTTGGATCCCTGTTAAATATACTGATTACACTTGCATTTAAAATCTAGACTTAAAGAAAAAAAATTTGAAGTGTGAATCTTTAACCTGTCAGCAGAAGCCTACCTGGTTGCATGACTCAGGAGAAGGCTGATGATGGGTCTGACCCTAAGCCCCCCAAGCATTCTGAATCATTTGAGGACTTCCCGCGCTTCTTTTGAGTTTTGTATTCCTGCTTTTTGGAGCTTCAAATTGTTGTTTTGTGTGCATTTTTTGCAGCTTTTCAGTTTGTTTATCGCTAGTGCACTATTTAGATGATTTATTGATGGTGAGACCTGCTGATTCGCCCCATTGTCCCTTTTTGATGTTGGTCAGCGGATTTAGTTTGAGGTCCCCCTGGCTGAGCATAAAACAACTTTCCCACACTGTGTAAAATGACACAGAGCACTCTGATTGGCTGGATTTCAAACTAACCAATCAGAGTGGTCTGTGTCATTTTACACAGCGTGGGAAAATTCCAAAGAACTTTCCCACGCTGTGTAAAATGACACAGACCACTCTGATTGGTGGATTTTAAGCCAACCAGTCAGAGTGGTGTGACAGGTAAATGTAGAGACTTACTTGTCAGTCTCTTCATTTACCTGTCAGAGCACTCTGATTTGATGGCTTAAACCCACCAATCAGAGTGCTCTGAGCCTAATTGCAGGGCGGGGCAAGGCTTTATAAGCCTTCCCCTGCCCTGCAGAGCTCAGTCTGCGCGGAGCAACCACGGGTGAAGAAGGTCCCCCCCTTATTGTTATTTAGGGGCAGGACAATAGGGCCCCCACCTGCCGCACAGGGGTGGGAGCCAGGGGGGACAATAGGTTCCCCTTTAGTTTAAAAGGAGGCTCAGGAGGGGGAATTTATTTATTTTTTAACAGTGAGCAGCCATTTTTTTTTTTTTTTAACAGTGAACAGCTGCTCACTGTTTAATAGACATGCCCCTACTCACGGTATAGCGAGGAGGGGCATAATTTACTAATACTAAGTGACCAGCTTCTATAGAGGCTGGGTCACTTACTGCACTGGCCAATCACAGCCATGCCATTAGTAGGCATGGCTGTGATGGCTTCTAAGGGCACACGAGTCAAACGCTTGTTGATTGGCAATTTAATGGTGCGTTTTGAAAAGCTGCAGGGCAGCCAATCAACAAGCGTTAGACTCGTGTGCCCTTAGAAGCTATCACAGCCATGCCTACTAATGGCATGGTTGTGATTGGCCAGTGCAGCATGTGACCCAGCCTCTATATAAGCTGGAGTTAGCTCTTATTAAATATGTCTAGTAAACAGTGAGCAGCCAGTGGCTGCTCACTGTAAACAAATTTAAAAAAAAAAAATCCTACTGGCCCCCACCCCATAAGGTGGGGGGACCTATTGTTCTCCCCCGCGGCTCCCACCCCTGAGCGGCGGTTGGGGGCCCTAAATAACAATGAGGGGAGGGGACCTAATGTCCTCCCCCCTTGCCCCCACCCCTGAGCGGCGGGTGGGGGCCCTAAATAAAAATTTAACCCACCCACCCAGGTGACTAGGGGTCCCCAAACCCGTAGTTACCCCCCCCCCAAAAAAAATTAACCTTTTCAGCCTTTTTTGGGGCTGAAAAAATAAGATTTTAGAAGAAAGAAAACATCAAATGGTAAGTTTTATTTTATTATTACAGGTACTTAGTTAAAGGTCCCCCCTCATTATTTTTAGGGTGAGGGGGGTAGGTAAGAGTTAATTTTTGGGGGAGGAGGTTGACTAGGGGTTTGGGGACCCCTAGTCACCTTCGGGG